ATAATAAAAAAAAATACCTCCGTGGTACTTCTTTAATGAAGGCATTGCCCAAAAAAAAAGAACGAAAACAATGTCCTTGGGAAACTAACCTTGAGCTGTCGCGTTCTGTCGGTGATGGTCCTGCCGTCGGACGGCGTGGGTGACGATGAGCACGCGTCGAATCCCGGTCCACATCGACATTGCTTCTCGATCCATGGCCTCGAATAAGTGTCGACCTTGTTGCACACTGCGTACGACGAGCACAGAGGCAGATCATCCTCTGCATTCTGCAAAAAATTGAATTAAAAAAATTAGGAAAAATCAAAATCACGTCAATTGCGTAAATTATCTCGCGAAAATCAGAAGAAAAAATCGAAAAAACGTCGTTTTTTTCTCTTTTTTTTATTCAAATAGGGGTGGGAATTTATCAGAGTATTGCAAGCTCCTAATCCGCCTTTAAAACCACGAATAAAAATGATATCCCTAAAAGGTAATCCAATTTGCTCACGGAGAGGGCGACTAGGAATATCATATTTTTTAAAGAATCATTTATTCATTTGGGACGAATAATACAGAAAAAGTAAATCAAACAAAGCCCCATCTTCTAGATTTCATCTAATAAAGTTTTTTTTTAAATTATCACGAAGACTAAATTACCAAGACTTGCGAACCAATATTTTTCGAATAGCTCTCATGATATGGATGAAACGATATACATTTAAATCATGTGAAATTATTCATAATCCCACGGCACATGGATGAGTATCAATTTAGAATAAAATGGTACTTCGTTGGGTCGATTTTCAAATTCATTTCATTCCGAAAAAGGCTCACGCTCACTCGAGTCATGGAAGAAAAAGTCATTTTTCCCTCTTACTAAACTACCAGACAACTGAAAAAATGACCCCAAACCAGCATGAAATCTGCTCGCTGAAAGTTTTCATCTCACGGAATATCACGGAAAATTATCGGAGGCTCGTGAACTTCCATCTTGTTTTACAGTAATACCCCAGTAAACGAGCATTTTAGTGAGGGCTTCGGTACTTCGACATTGCCGCCCCCGAAACACGAAAACAGATGCAGTTTTGGACTCTTAGTTCATTTTCTGGCACAGTACTTCTTTCTGGGGAACACGCGCCCATTTGGTTTAAACACAACTATTCTTTCCACATACAGTAAGTCGGAATATTTTAACCGATGTCGGAAGTGGAATTCGGGTTTCTGCGACAGAAAAAAAGGCCTTTGAACGACCGTATATACTGTGCCCTTCCCGAAATTTATTTTTCCGCAAAGGAAAAATGTACATTTGAATAGACCGGAAAACGTTTTTATTTCTTTAAACTCTATCTCGGCTCACGTATAATTTATATTACGATATATTCCCTATTTTGTATAAATTATATTGTAGTAATACCTGCATGATAATTTTGATTACCATGCGGTTCCGATGTAAAGACAGCTCATTTCTACACGTGATTGACTAATTGCATCACTAGGTTAATCAAGATTCATTAATAAACCGCATCATGGGCGACTTGAAGAATGTGTTTTCTGTAAAATTCACTCAAACTACTGTTTTCTTCTTTGGATTTTGTTCTTGGAAAGTAAATTTACCTTGACATAATACATTTTGTTTTTTTTTCTTCAAAAGCATTTCCCATGTAGTAGTGTTCATCTTCTTGCGGATTGCTCCTTTTCTGAGTACGATAGAGTGCAGTATTTGTATCGATCATGTTATATTGAAGGCATTTTTACTCTTTCAGTAATTCCTGAGGTAATTTCCCAAAGTACTGAAACCTATGAATCATAACAATCGAATAACTCGGTCAAGAGAATTCTCGGGGACATATCACCAATTAGACATGAAAATACCTATCCAAGTCGAATTCCAAGGGACCTGCAAAAAAATTCGACTTGGGCAGGTTTCGAGTCACATAGGTTTGAACTACAATACAAAGCCCTTTTTCCCGGAAACTTAGAAAAATACAAATGGTGATATTCTGGGGCTTAAATGGCGTCTTTAATGAGTTGAAAGGCTGCTGAATTTGGAGGCAGGGGTTCATTTGCGCAATCAAGTCTTTCACTTCCTTTAAAACACACAAATTCCTGTTTTTATTGCTCTTTTTTTTCTTTCTTGGGTCAAGAAAATAACGGCCAATAGGCCACAGAAAATTCGACTTACAGAGGTTTGCGGGGAAAAGCTTTAAACTTAGGGAGGTTTTTAATGTATTGTTTCTAAGAGGATTCAGATGGAGACCTGAAAATAATTCGACTTGGGGAGGTTCAAGTTATCCAGGTTAACTTGTACAAGCTCCATTTCCTGCTTGCCAGCGTTTGAGAAGGTTCACAAAATGTTTCAGAACACACAAATCCATTAAGACGAATTCCGGCCCCTTGAAACAATACATTCTATAGTTATTCACAGAAAATAAAATCCCCATACTGTATACATAGGAATGCATACAAAATATAGTACTTCAACTTTACATCAGGGAACCCCCGCCTCATCCCTGAGGAAATCTCGGTACATAATCGAGTGCTGATTCGACTATACTTCGTCAAGTATGCACACATTTTCCCCACTCAAACCCCGACTTATTTTTTTCGATCTCTCTCTCTCTCTCCCTTTTTTCAGTTACTTCCAATCAAAGCTGCACACCAGCAACACAGACAGGATAGGAAACGCATACATCTCGTGGAAGAAAAGCCTCGGACTCAAGTGGGACTTCCGTCCGGCTGCGGGGTGTGAGCAAATAACACCGTCGACCAACAACAACAGCAGCACAAAACCTGGCTTGACAGCGATGAGAATCGCCGCCTCTCATCCTCGTTGCCATAAAAAAAATACATATGCATATCACGAGAGAAAAAAAGGTAAAGAAAAAGGCACACACACACACACACACACACGGGAAATCCTCGCCGAATTCCCGCCGTCAATAATACACCCGTAAAAAGATAGAGAGAGAAAAGGAGGAAACCGTTTTCCCGCTCAAACAGAAAAAATCCAGGCGGAAACGCGACTGCCGCAGTTTCCTGTGCCCGTTGACTGCATTGTTGCCCTCGGGTGTCTATCGGCTTCATAGAAGAAGGGAACCACGAATGTGCAGAGAAAATCGGTGGTATACAAACGTCCCCAGAGAAAGGAAGAGAGAGAGAGAAAAACTGCACTTGAAAAAACCATGTGTGTGTGTGTGTGTGAGAGATGCGGGCAAAGGAAGTGCGGAGAGAATTCACGACAGCGGCAGTTTCCGGTGACGGCATTCTTTCCCGCATAGTTTCCTCTTTCATCGGAGGGGGAAATGGTCTTTTCGAATCCAGTCGACAGGAAAAAGATCTTTGATCTTTCGGTGAACTTTTTTCAATTGAAATCCGTCTTTTCAATGTCCGCGGAAGTCCTCAGTAATAAATCTCTACCGCGGAAGACAGCAAAAAAAAAGAGATGGGATACATTTCCGAGAATTCCGAACTTTCGGCAAAATCATTGCGCAAACCAGAAGAAAAAATACCGCACGGTCGAGAACAATCTGGACACCCATTATAAATTCCAACGAAAATGTTGTGAAATGGCAGTAAGTAGGCTTCAAACAATATACTGTACTGTACTGAATTTTACCGTAAACTGTTCAAAGCATCTTACCCTACGTCAAGAAATAAGCGCACAGGAAAAACAATTATTCGGCACTCGATTAAAATCTTCTTACGAAAAAATTCTCTTGTGGTTTCCTGAGGCACTATATTTTCTTTCGAAAAATAAAATCAGTTTTCTGGCCAATATCCTGGAAATGATATGTTTCCCTGTCAAGTATGAGGCGATAATAACTGATCAACGCATGCAATGCAAACTGCATCATCCTAAAACTTATATTTCCATTTGAAAGAGGTCAAACATTTCCCATTCACACGTGACTTGTTCACATTGCGACCATTTGAAGTATTTTTATTTACTTACGCCTAAAGCTGAAATGCGATTATCTTGCGAAAAAGATCAATTCATGCAATCAAAAGAAAATGTCACGAAAGGAATATCTTTCGATTCTTCTCCTGAACATGAGATTGACTAGTTTCTGGAACACACGAAGACGTTTGCCTGAAATCTTTCGAAAACACGTTTCCGAGAATATTCTTAAAGTACGGTGATTCCAAATTTTAAAAAAATATATCTTGAGACATTTTTGGTAACCCACACATGCGTCAGTGAGTTGCTGCCTTGGACAAAAGTACAAGTACGGTATAGTACCAGAAGATTCGGCGCCCACAAGAGAGAAAAGATTACATGACAGATCATTATACTGTACGAGAATGGATTTAAAATTAATAAAAAAAAACCTTGTCAACACAGGACCCAGGAAAAGACAGACCTCTTTTCTGCTGAAAACATGTCTCTGGAGGCAATCGTCTTACATCGACACCCTCGCACACGACGACGACGACGCAGCTTGCTCAACGGGGCCCATTCGTACTCGAAAACGAACCCATAAATCTGAGACACGCGGGGGTGGGTTTCAAGGAGCCCGTTATGCAACAGCTGACGGCTGATAAAACCCCCATCTCTTCCCGCAGAGGAAAAATTCTTCGGATATTAAACTACAGGACCAAAAAATAATAATAAAGCAGCATCTCATTGCAAAAAAAAAGTGTGCAGTTATAACAAATTATTACTTACAACGAATTCAATTTCAAGTCCTCTTTCCGATAGACGCGATATTCTTCAAACTACTCTATAACGAATTTTTGGTTGCAACGAAGCCTTTTTTCCTCGTCACACTAGCTTTGTTGTAAAAAAAATTTCACTGTACTGTACACCTCTTTGTGTCGTGCCATTATTTTTTTTTTCATTTTTCATAAAACGAATAACGAATTCAAATATAAAACCGTTCGTATTACGAACAACTCGTTTCTACTACAAACAAGGCTGTGCATTCACCCATGTTCATAGTACGAATTTTGTTCGTTCTGTGATGGTGATGATTTCGGAAAATAATGTTCGTTGTACAGAATGTTCGCTGTAAGAGATGTTCTCAAGGATTCGCTGTTATGAGGTACCACTGTACTGCCATCGGCTGTAGCATCACCGCAAACAATATCAGATTCTGACGACATAAAACGTATTGCACAGGGCTGAAGAAAATTACAAATATGTAGTTAAATTTTCTTGAATTTAGGATACGTTAAGAAACACTGTAACTTAAAATGCGCCAGCAAATTCAGTGTACGAAGGTTTTGGCCCAGTTTACAGATCGCAAAACCTTTGGATGCTGAGAAGTGTAACTAAACCCAAAAGGTTTGAGAGTCTGCGAATTTTTCCAAAAATCATGGCTTTCTTTAACCCCATGCTGAAATAATTAGTAAAAGCAGACGAGTAAAGAACCCCACTTCATTCTAATCAGATTGACTTGAATTCTAACGAGGAAATTCGTGTCGAAGACTTAGCAAGGAAAGTTGCAGAATTCTGCAAAGAAAAATTGTACAAGATCTCGTGAAAATCATTCAGAAAACTTCATGATAAGCTTAACAAACTCCCAAATGAATTTCAAGACGAGGCCATGACGAAAGCCCGAGAATGCTTACTCTTCGAATTTTGCGGCACAATCGGCAATGTCATAAGTGTAAATTATGACATGACTACATCATAAGAATTTAAATACTGTACTGTAATCATAAACTATTCTGTAATACGATACCGCATTTTAACGGCATTAATTGAAGATTTTTTCCGTGTACAAGCCGCATTCCCCTGGCAAATTAAAAAAAAAATGTATCAGTCAAAATTAGCGGCAATATCTAGGAGCGGCCTAAATACACGCGTAAATTCGTCATCCGGGATATTCAACTATCCGGACGAAGAAACCCGGTCATTAGCCCGAGTAATCAAGGACCCATCGAATTCCAAACCGGAACTCATCAGAGAGAGAGAGAAAAAATTAGGAGAACGTCTTCGGACTCTCGACTATACCACTCATACATTACGAATACCGCCTTTGTTTCCCCCAAGTACAATACATTGCAGTATCATCATTATTACCTCGACTGCACGCAAAAAAATAAAATAAAATAAAGAAAGTATATTCCTTCCAGAAGCAAAAACGGAAAGGAGAAAGATCGAAGAAGAAGAAAAAAAGAAGCGAAAAACTGCGGATATGAAGTGAGGAAGTCTCGAAATCGTTGCGCACCGCCGGTGTGTGACAACTGCCTTTTGGCTTGTGAAGCCCCACACACCGGAATTTCCCACGCCCACGCATCCGCTGCGCATCAAGTGTGGCATCGCACTTCCTCGACCAGTACATTTCCGGCGTCTTTTTTTTTCTCTTTCTTTCTTTTCGGCAAGGGGGGACGTTGAAGTCTCGACTGAATCGTGACTTCGTGAGCAATGAGGAAAGTACATACAGAATTGTATGAAGTGGAAACCTCCGTGTGAACGAATAAACACTGAGACACTCAACATGAGGACGCCTCGACCTGTGGGCAATTCGACATAGGGACACTTATTTTCCCAGAAAAAAGTAATAAAAAAGGCCCAACATGAGGACACTGACTCGACATAGGGACATTTTGTGATAAAATTGCAAATACATTTCACACCAAATTACAAGAAAATGATATTTCCAACGCTAAAATTGATGTAAGAAAAGTTCTTGGGCATATCTCTTACCAATTTACAATCCATTTAGCTAATTTTAAAAAATTACCTCCAGCATAGAGGGACTTCCTCCTCCTTTTACACTTCACTGTTATTTTTACAGAGAAACCAGCATTTCAATGTACAGTACAGAGATACACTACTCAATGCTCCAAATGTTCTTATTGCGTTGAAATGGTATTCACTAATTCAAGTTCAAGTGGCAAACAATTTTTTTCAGGGAATTTTGAAGAATATTTCTCCCATAAAACACCAATTAAAAATTATACAGTATAATGTAAGTCTATGGGAAAACAAGACTCGACTTCGGGACAATTCAACTTAGGGTTCAACTTAGTCCGCATCTTGGGGTCTCACTGTATTGCATTGTACCTCGCATGAAGAAAATGTGACGACCTATGAACTCTCAACGAGGAAACACCGACTTTATTTGCTTCGGATAATGGACGACACGAAAGAAGATATTTTACTCTGAAAACTCGAGAGTATAATCTGGAAATTTGACATAATTCTCATTGCAGTATTCCATTTTAATTCGCATCCATCATTTCTTTCTTCGCTGCTTTGCTCGATTTAACCTTTACGAACGCCGCGTCAAAGCATCAATGATTTCGAGAATTTACGAGAAAATAACTTGAATTTTAAAATTAAATTTGCAAAAAATCTTGCCCACAGAAAGAAACGGGATGGTGGAATCACGTCGTCATTCCAATACAGTACTGGATTATTGTTGTCAAGCCTCTCCTGGAACAAAACTCGTAAAAAAAATATTCCCGCAAATAACAACTGGACCAACATCATGCAGCAAAAAATTCCGGAAGTACCAACATCTCGGGGAATACATAAAGGCGAGGTTATTCCTGACGACAATATTCCGCGACGAGATTCTTCCAGGCTGACGAGGTTGGGCCTGACGACGTTATTCCAGCCACCCAACAGAAACGAAATACAGTACAGTAATTATCCTCGTTCATGCCCCGATCTGCTCGATGCTGTAATTTGATTTAGGCGATCGTATAAAAATCAAATACTGTACATCACTCAGTCGGGGCTTCAGGGACAGATCATTGAAAATGCAAAAGAGTGTACGGCCAAAATTCAAGAGCCAAGATTTCGGTTCTGGTCGGGGTTATCCCGCATCTAAAGATGCATTCTTCGAATGATAAAAAAATTCGGAAAATTCCATCCGGTGACAACAAAAAAACCCGACAGCCATCATTAAAGAAGAGCACGGTTTAGAGGTACGCACGACGTCACGAGGAAAAAAAACAAGGACCACGGTACTTAGCTTAAATTCCCGACGCGGAACGAGAAAAAAAAACTCCCCGTTGCATCGTCATGAACCAAGAGAACAATGCAGGGGCCCAAGGAAAAATTCGTTATAACCAGATTCGTTGTGACGGCATCATACTGTATATTTAAAAAAAATTCGTAAAAAGAGTACAGTATATTTTTCAATTCCACTGCATTGAGTAAAGCTACAGTACATGAGTGAAACTGCAGCGCTGTTCATACAAGGGCTAAATCCCAGTTGGACGCGACCTTCGATATTTATGGAGTGGGTGTGATTGTAAAAAAAATAAAATTGCATAGCTCACGATTTTCTAGCTTCTGGGTTTTTTTTTCGAAATTTTTACAACAGTTTTTTAATTTACTGCATGACGAGAAATGAAAACTTCCCAGTTCCAGCCAGAGCCCTCCACCAATTGTCACGAGAATGCTGAAAATTTGTCAGGCTAGCTGAAAAAAAATGCAAGATTTTATTTGGCCTGACAAATTCTTAGCCCCCCATAACCAGGGGGGAGAACTCTGGCTCAAGCTGAAAGCTGAAAGTTTTTCACTCATCATCATGCAACAAATTAAAAAAATATCCGAGAAATTTCAAAATTATCCTCTACACCATGATTTTATGCAATCCCACCTACTCGAAAAAAACATCGCGTCCAACTGGGACAATCCTCGTACACTGGAACATTTCCAGCAAAGACCGCACCCGAATTTTACAGGCATTCGTGCACTCACTTGCGCAAATTACACACTGGGCTTTTGAAAAATTGCCTGGAATTATTTCTCTAATATTAATACAGTACTGTACTACTAAACCGAAATCTCGTTGCAACGGAGCCATTGGGACGCATAAAATACAGTGAGACCACAACATGCAGACACCTCGACCTGCGGGCAATTCGACATAGGGACACTTATTTTATCATAAAAATTAATTAAAAAGGCCCAACATGAGGACACTGACTCAACATAGGGACATTTTGTTATAAAATTGCAAATACATTTCAGGCCAAATTACCAACCCTAAAATTGATGTAAGAAAAGTTCTTGAGCATTTTTCTCACCAATTTACCATCCATTTAGCTAATTAAAAAAATAACCTCCTGTAGAGAGGGACTTCCTTCACTCTTTTTCACTCAAATATCATTTTCAGAGAGAATGCCAACATTTTTATGTACTGTGCAGAGAGGTATTGGTATTCAATTCCCAAAATGTCCATATTGTGTTGAAATACATTGATTGGAATCTGTTTTAAATTGAGACAATTCTCATTTTCATGGAATTATGGTGAGTATTTTGTAGATAATACACCAATTAAAAATTATATAATGTAAGTCTAAGGGAAAACGAGACTCGACTTAATGACATTTTGACTTGATGATTTCGACTTGATGGGACACTGTTGATGCACCAATTACGTCCGCATCTTGGGGTTTGGGTTAAAGGTTAAAATGAGTTTGCTAAACCCATGTTCGACAGCACTCATTTTCTCAGTCTGAATTGACAAAAAACAAAAATTACCAAAACGGGGAAACAAGGACAGGATGACGGACACAACAGAGACTGCGCACGTTCCATAGATGACGTAGCGATTGAAGTCGCACTGCTCTCCGAACATTTCGTACAAGAAGTAGTAACCCGTGCCAGTGGCACACAAAAGTGCCAGCGATGTCAGGAGCAAACCTTCAACAACAACAAAAAAAACCACAACATCAAACCAGGATTGTACCGTATTCACTTCAGTACCACATGCCCTGGATTAGGGCAGGCACAGGGGTTTTTCAGTTGGAAATTTGGCTAAAATCGTATACCCGAGTAAGGCGCGCACCCTAATTTTTAGTGAATCTATAACCACAAAATTTCGAAAATAAATTCAACAAATTTGACCTTAGACATGAATTGAACAAAAATTGGATCAATTTTCAACTTTTTCAGTACAAATAAGTTTTCTTGTCACATTTCTTCAAAATTTCTCCATTATAATTGAGTATAATGCACACATAGCTTCCTAAAACTTCTTGAAAAATTTGTAACCGCTTATGACGCACACCCCTTTTTTCCTTCTGAAATTTGAGAAAAAAAGGTGCGCGTGGTACTCGAGTAAATACGGTATTTAAAACTTCATGCGGTACATTTCACAAATTTTAAATAAAATAGAAACATTCCAGTTGTCATGTACCATTTGTGCAGTTTTGACGCTCAAAATATTTTTTGAAAACCCCACACTGTAGTTGAATGGAGTTGAAAGAGCTGATCATCAACATGATAAAGAAGATTCGACGTACAGTATAGACAAAATCCGTTGGAAAACTTGGCAGAAATCAAAGATCAGAAAAATGAAAATGTAAAATATTATTGCAACAAACTTTTGGGAACTTTTGGAAAATTTTGTTCAACTTGAAACTTCTTACGCCAAGATTTTCTTAATTAATGACCAGAAAAATTTTCACATCAGACCAGCATATTTTCTTAGGACTTGATAAAAAAGTTCTTCAAACTAGAAGAAATTCTAAAAAAAAAATGGTTGCAACGGAATTTGTGGCAACAAGATTTTACGATATTTCTGAAGAATATTCATTACACTCAAGTAATATCCATGAAGTAAAAGTGAAAACTTCATCAATTAATCATCAATGCACTACAGTAAAATCTCGTTACAACAAATTTTTCGATACAACAAACTTTTTTTCAGGTCCCGGCAGAAAGCCTATAGACTACATGTTAAAAAAATCTCGTTATAACAAACTTGGGAATTCCGTTATGACAAACTTTTTTGACGCAATTTTTTTGGTTTTTGTGGAAAAATTCGGAAAAATTACTTGAAATTTGCTTGTGTTTTTCACCATTGAAGCCTGAATCAAAAGAGGCCCAAATGTTTCAAAATCTCCATGAGATCCACCCAGGAGAGAGAGTTTTTCCACCCTGCCATGAAAACCCTTACCTGGAACACAGCAAAAATTGCATGTAGAATTGTTTGGACCCCTGGAGATTAATCCAAACATTCTGTTTCCCATAAACTTGCAGGAAGGACAGTCAAATACAAAAACCTTAAATACAGTAGAATAACTGCCCAAACAGCAATGACTTCCCTGGAATACATTTTTTAAAATTTACAATAACCATGAACCAAGAAGTACACAAAATCCATCCAACCCAGGAGCAGTTCTTCAGCATCTTCTGAAGAATAAAAATAAAGATGCACACCTAAAAGATTAAAAATTGCTCATGTCCCATGCATTGTGAAATATATTCCAGTACAACTTTGGACAGTGACTGTTCAACACAAATTTTGTGACAGAATTTTTTTTTTTACTTTTTAACTCTGGATACTGTGGAATGCTAAGATTTGTATGAAAATAACTGCTGGTAAAGTTAAAGAAAAAAATTTGGTCACACAAATTAATTTTAATTTTAAATTGCTTGTGTTTCCCACTTCAGTGCATTTTTTTCATTGCTTTTTTTCTTTTCCTGTGTCTCTACACAGCAATGCATTTCAGTTATATGCAATTAATTTTAAATTGCTTGTGTTTCCCACTTCAGTGCATTTTTTTCATTGCTTTTTTTCTTTTCCTGTGTCTCTACACAGCAATGCAGTTCAGTTCTATGTACAGGGTTACAAAAATCTGTCAAATTTCTCAAACAAGATGTTTGCCTTGCCTCTTTATTGTGCAAAAATGTGTCAATTTTCTTGTAGAAAATGAACAATCATGAAAAGAAGAAATTCAAGCAAAAATATGCAATAATGTAGCTTGGATTCATGGTGCTGTCACCCTGCAGTCATGGCAAAAATCCTTTCATATTGCTTTTCAAAATGTCTTTTTGGCAGTCCACAGAATGGGGAATGAAAAACGGCAAAAAAGAAAATGCCAACAATAAACTCTTGATAAGAAGCTAAGCATTTTTGCTGCAGTTGATGGCACAAAAAAAAGAAGGTGGTGGCAAGTGAATTTGGAATTAAGCCTGCAACTTTGTCAGCAATTTTTAAAAATTTGTCAAAAATTAAATTGTGTGACTTCAACATGAGACCTCATTGCAAGCAAATGTTGACTGCTACTCATGCAGACCTGGACAAGGCTGCTATTGCATGGTTTCAAGATGTGCCATCTAGCAACATTCCTGTAAATTGCCTCTAATTCAAGAGAAAACCAAGCAGTTGGCACTTTCTTTTGACCACAAATCATTTCTAGCTAGTGTTGGGTGGCTTAATTGTTTCTGTGATTGATTTTGAATTTCAACTAAAGTGATCTGTGGGGAAGAGTCAGCAGTTCTCACCACAAAAGTGCATGATTGGCAGGTCAGTGAGATGAAAAAAAGTATTGCATCTTACAGCCCTGACAGCATTTTCAATGCAGATGGAATGGACATTTTTTTTAAATTGTTACCAAAGTGCACATTGGCTGTTAGAAATTATCCTTGTCATGGTAGCAGAAAATCAAAGCAGAGACTGACAGCCCTCTCCTGTTGGAATGCTTCAGGGATAGATCACACATATAGCGTCCACTCATCATTGAAAAATCAGCAAAACCACCTTGTTTCAAGAATGTACAACTGTGACTTGATGATCACTGCAATTTTTGTTAAATTGCTGAAGCAGGTCATCAAGGACATGCAAATCAAAAAAGGAAAATCTAGCTTGTTTGGGACAACTGCTCTGTCCACACTATTGCTCCTTGCCTAGATAATGTGCAAGTGGAGTATATGCCACCAAACTGCACTGCATTTTTTCAGCCTCTGTACCTGGGCATAATACAAACTGTGAAAGTTCATTACTGTACAGGAAAAATATTTTATAGAAAATTCTTGCAAACATTGCATGTGATAAAAAGGATACTGACACTGACATCAAGCAAGCAATTGAAATGATTGCTTGTGTCTGGTCAATTAAATTTTTTCTCATGCTCTGACATTGTATATTGTAAGTGATGAAAAATATGATCTACTGAAAAAAGTTGAGGATGCATTGCCAGCAGCAGTGAATAAGAATTTTGCTAAGAAGAAAATCACTGATTTTTTTCAAACAATAATTTGAGTTCTTGAACTGAAAGACAAGCCTGATTCAGAATATATGCAGATCTGAGCTGAAAAAAATGTTCCAGTCATTTTTTTTGATAATCTCATTACAACAAATTATCCGTTATAACAAACTTTTTCTGAGGTGCCCAAAAGTTTGTTGTAACGAGATTTTACTGTAATACCTACAGTGATGAACAAAATTTAACTTTTCGTATGCCTTGATACAAATTCAACACTAAACAAAAAGAATCGTATTTTTCGAATAAAAATGTTTGTACACCTACAACAAAATACTGCAAAATATTCAAGATTTCAGCCAACAACTTACCGATTCCGCAGCAAAATTCACCGCAACACCTGCGGTTCACCTCGGGCTCGGCAAATTTGTCGAGAAACATCACGAGGAAAATCACTTGCACGATGACGTATATTACGCCTCCTGCGATCCCC